GTGTTCTACCGACAGTGACCTTTGAAACTGTGGTCCCAGCTCTCTTCATGTCATTGACCAGCTCCTCCCTTGTAGTTCTGGGCTGATTCCTCACCTTTCTTATCATCAGTGATACCCCACGAGGTGAGATCTTGCATGGCGCCCCAGTCCGAGGGAGACTGACAGTCGTCTTTAGCCTCTTCCATTTTCTAACAATTGCTCCAACAGTTGATCTATTTTCACCAAGCTGCTTGGCAATTGCCCCGTAGCCCTTTCCAGCCTTGTGGAGGTCCACAATTTTGTCTCTGGTGTCTTTTGACAGCTCTTTGGTCTTGCCCATGGTAGTAGTTGGCATCTGATTGACTGTGGGGTGGACAGGTGTCTTTATAGAGCTCAGACAGGTGCTACTAATTTAGATTGAGTGGAGTAGAGGTGGACTTTTTCAAGACACAGTAACAGTTCTTTGAGAGCCAGAATTCTTGCTGTTTCTCAGGTGTTCAAATACTTGTGTTCAGCAGTGCAAGACAAATAAATTCTTTAAAAATCATACAATGTGATTTCCTGAAATTTTTTTTTTTAATTCCGTCAGAGTGGGAATGCACCTACAATGTGAATTTCAGACCCCTCCATGATTTCTAAGTGGGAGAACATGCAAAATCGCAGGGTGTTCAAATACTTCTGTTCCTCACTGTATATAATTTTCTGAAGCACACAAGCTCAAATATGGTGAGGAAGCTCTCTTGAGGTGTAACTTTTACTCTTTGTGTTTTCAGGTGGACTATGGTGCCACTGCAGAAGAATTGGAGGCTCACTTTCATGGCTGCGGCTCAGTAAACAGAGTCACCATCTTATGTGACAAATACACAGGGCATCCCAAGGGGTAATAACAATTATGTATTTTAACTCTGCAGCTGCTCATTAATAGCTGGATAACAGGTCATCATCATTGTTGCATGTGGCCACTAAACCTCATTAAAACTGTAGGTGGACAGATTCTTTTGTCTAAGTATCAATACCAATGATGGAGTAATCCCAAAGATGCACTAGAGCTGAGTAGTTGGGGGAAAAAAAGGGCTCAACAATTATGGCTGCCAGATATGAAAAATGTTATTCTGGCTGCACATTTTGACAACCACTTAAATTGGAGATTTAAGGGGGGGCAGTCTGACGCATGCTCTTTGTCTGCTGGTGGGAGTGTGCGCGTGCATCGGGGTGGAACTTCACCGTGCACAAAGCAGAGAGCAGAGGAGAATTGTATACATGCGACCATGTAGAGACAGAAATGACACGCCGTCGTGTAAATAAGATAAAGAATGTATGGCAATTTAGTTTGTTTAATAAAAGAATAAGGTCTACAAAGTAACCTTAAACGATTCTGTTGTGATCTGGCGCTATATAGAAAATAAAATTAACTTGACCTTCAAGGAGGGGCGGGGTGCCCCCTTATCTAATGGTAGGGTAAACACCGGTCTGTAATTATTTCAGAATAATAAAACAAAAGAGCCTCTCCTAAAAATGAGAGGATAGTTTGTGAACTCGCACAACACCTGTTGCTGGTGTTGTCGCAAGTGTACAGCACAATGAACCACAATGCCATTAATTGATTTGAATAGATGGATAGATAAACAACGGTATATGTACCGATGAAAAGAGATGTGTAACACTCGAAACAAAGTGGGTAATTGAGAAACCCCATATTTTAACGGCCATAATGCAGACATAGTAACTTCTCCAGCCTTACAACAATTCTCGAATGTTACAGAAACAAGGCATTAACGGCCACATACATTCCCAAAGTAGTGAAATTAATTCAAATGGGTAGCGTAGTATGGACAGTGACATCAGGGGGCTTCACCCGCTGGCTGCTTGGTCAGGTAAAACAGGAACATTCCCAGACATGCAGCAAGCTCAGGCACTTTATTTTTCTTCACATTCTCTGGTCACAGTGCAGCAGCAAGGTAAAATATATTCACAAAACCTGGTGCAGTCAAAAAAAAAAATTCCACTTTTACAATGGCACTGCAGATGTCAGGCAAGCTCGCAGGAATGTGCAACTGCCTAGAGATTATGACCACTCAAGGAAATCGGTAAACTATCATGCAAGACTTTTTGTTAGAAAAAAGTCTCATTAGTGAGAGTTTGCAAGACGTGTATAAGCCAAGTTGCTTCTGCATATAAATACTAGAACATTCACCTTTTTTTTTTCTTTAAGCTTTAGGTCACGTCTAAGATGATAATTCACCGTTGTAGCATTGCAGAAAAGTAAAAAAAAAAAGGGGGAAAGCATACCATACCATGGGCTCTTTGTGTGTAGGAAGCCACTAGGGCTTGACCTGAATATCCAACTATGTTGCAATCTTGTTGGAAAAGCCCAGAGTGGAAATTGTTGAGGTAGCAGCTCTTTCAGGTTAAAATGATAACCAGTAGGGTCACACCAGCGGTTGCTGACCAACGTGAACTCCCTGACTTAAATTGATGACAGGACAAAATGAAAATGGTTGCTGTCAGGCTTGTGGCCTCGCTGCAGCTGGTGGACAGACAACACACTGTCTGCTGTTAGCCAAAGATTGTTTATGTCGTCAAGAGGCATCACTCTGTAACACCACTGAATAATTTGTGAACTGAGTGCTTCTCTGTAGTTCCAACAACTCCAACAGAGTGACATACCTTCACAGGTAAAACTGTCAATCACATGTCAATGATGTAAATGTAGCACATTCTTTAAAAAAATTTTTTTTTTTAAAATTGAAACAAACACATTAACAAAACCGTATCGAACATGGGAGACAAGACAACATGACATTACAAAAGGATATAGAGTGTTTAACGAGGCTGTAGTGTGTGAAGTGTGGGTATTTCCAACTTATGCAGTCTATGAAATGCAAGAAAGGGAAAAGGAGGGGAAGTAAATTAAAAAAAAAACTAATGAAATGACCAATAATGATGATAACAGTACTATTAAAAAAATCAGCTTGTTACATTTCTAGAGGTTGGTGGGAATGTGCGTGGCCTCAGCCCCAGCTATTTGATTCAAATTGAAATGTGTTAAAAATGGGTTCCATGTGTCATAAAAAGCAGATAAACTATTCTTGTGAGTGGATGCCATTTTCTCTAATGTGATGTATTCTGTTAGAAGGTTGGTCCAGTGGTTTGTGTATTGATTTTTTTGAAGGATTGTTTTCTTGGCAATAGCTAGAGAAATGAGGAGTGGGTTTTTATATTTAATTGGTAGGTGGTCAATTTCTAGGATATTACCGAGTAAGCAAAGTGATGGAGAAGGAGGAATTCTACAGCCCAAGATGGTGGAGAGTTTCTCTGTCACTGCTATCCAGAAGGAATAAACTGGTTGGCAGGTCCAAGTAGCATGAAAGTAACTGTCGGTGCAATCTAGAGTGCACTGTGAGCAGATGTCTGTGTCAGTAAAACCCATTTTGAACATTTTACTTTCTGTAATATGGGTCCTATAAATGGTCTTGTATAAGTTGTAAGTTTACACTGCTGGCCATAGAAAAGGTGTTATTGCTAATTTCTGTCCAGAAGTTAGAGTTGAGGGGGGAAGAGTTAAATCATTTTCCCATTTGAGTTTGGGTATTGTTATTGTTGAGTCTATATTTGATATGAGTTTATATAGCTTGGATATTATTTTCTTGGAGGATGTAATTTTCATAATTTCTTCAATTAATTGGGAAGGCTGTAGTGCCAAATTGGAGTGTATCTACATGGTGCAAGTGATGATTTAGTGATTTTATTTACTTTCCACCAGGCTGTCAGAGTTGAGAGGATTGTGATGTTCTTACAGTAATTCATTTTCTTAGTAGAGTTTGGTAGAAAAGGGAGGTCTGCAACCGAGTTGTTATTTTTACAGTAATTTTGCTCTAATTCTATCTATGCGCTGTTGTAACTATCCTTCTGAATCAATTTGACTAACTGTAGCCTATTTGCCAAGTAGTAATATTGGAAATTTGGTGCTTCTAGGCCACCTAGTGATTTCTTCTTTTGGAGTGTAGATAGAAAAATTTTGGGTTTCTTGTTTTTCCAATGAAATTGTGAAGTTAAAGAATCAAGTGATTTAAACCATTTATCTGTGGGTGTTCTGGGAAGCATTGTAAACAGTCGATTTGAGGTTTTTCATTTTGACAGTAGCTATTAGACCGATGAGTGAGAGAGGAAGATTGGACCAACGTTTTAAAATCATCTCCTATCTTTTTTAGCAGGGGGGTGTAGTTGAGATTAAAAAGTTTTGACAGCCTGGGAGAGATATTAATACCAAGATATTTAATGTTGCCTGTGCAGAATTGGGGGGAGGAGTCTTGAGCTGCAGAATCCCAGGCATCCTCAGAGTGGTAGTATGGTGGGTTTATTCCAGTTGATTGTGTAGTTTGAGATCTTAGAAAATGTGTTAATAATATGTAAAGTTTCCTGTAGAGAATTATAGGGATCCTGTAACAACATAATAATAACATATAATAATAAATCATCTGCATAAAGACTAATTTTGTATTCCTTTAATTATATTCTGTCGTATAGCTGCTGTGAGAGGTTCGATGAAAATGGCAAATAGAGATGGTGAGACTGGGCATCCTTGTCTGGTACCCTGCTGTAAAATGAAACTTTGTGAACTGATCCCGTTTGTACTTATTGTCGCCCTAGGTGATGTGTACAGTGTTCTTATCCAATGGATGAACGACACTCCAAACCCAAATCTGCATAATGTACAAAAGAGGAATGTCCAGTTAACTTTATCAAATGCTTTCTCTGCATCTAGTGATAAAACTATGGTTATGTTTATAAAACTCAGCTGGTAGTCCATCAGGTCCGGGTGCTTTATTTGGCATTGAAATCACTGCTTTATGGAGTTCGTCAATAGTGAGAGGAGCATCTAATCTGTCAGCTTGTTCTCTGGGTAATGTTGGCTATCTAAGAAAGTGTCTATTTCTGATGATTTTGGGTTGTAATTGGAGGAGTAAAGTTTACTGTAAAAGGTTTGGAATACATTAATATCTTGTGGATTATGAACAATTTCACCTCTAGGATTGAGTATGGATGGGATTGATGCTTTTTCCTTTTTGCATTGTAATTGATTAGCCAGATAATTACCTGTTTTGTTGCTATATTTGAAAGTGTTCATATTTGAGTTGTTGAATGAGAAATTGCGCTTTTTTTATATATAATATTTTCAAGTTGCATTTTTAGTTCGCCTAATTCATTTTGTGTTTGTTCGCTAGGGTTTTGAGAATGTAAATCTGTGAGTTGTTTTATCTTTTGTTCTAAGGTGCTTTCCAGTTCTAGTTGATTTTTCTTTTTGTACGATGAGTATGATATTATTTTCCCTCTAATTACTGCTTTGCCTGTTTCCCA